AAAGGGGCAGGGTGCCAGTGGAGGGCATGGCACTTTTTTATGAAAGGAAAAGGCACTGCTCATTTCTTTTGTCTATGTTTCTGTGTGTATCACGAGTTCACATTCTTTTTTTTACTGTATATGTTGTTAATAAAGATGCATAAGTTGTCGTTTTGATTATTTATTCTATAAAATTTGCATTAGAAAATGTAATTCATACGACATGTTCATAAAACATGTCAATACACATTCATACATCACATCACTATAAACCAATAGAGGCAAATTAACTTACTATTCCCCCCCCCCCCCACCCCCTCCCCTTTTCCCAAAAAAACAACATAAACTAAACATCTCATAGTTTAGCATACACTGTGACAGATAGACGAGTGACATTAACCATAAAATTTTATTTTTAATGCACCCACCTAACATACGGCTAAATCATATACCATTCGAAAGCACATCATCTGCACTACCTTTTTTGCCTGGTCGTCAAGAATTCGTATGGTGCAGTTTCTGTCAAATCACAACAAAAGGTCAAGGACGGACAACTTCTAATTTACAAGAAGTCAGCATTTTTTGCATATTCTGTCTTCTAAATAATGCTATTTTGTATGGACATAGGGAAATCTGTTAGAACAGATGTTAATAGTAACTTATCAAAAGCACTTTGAAATATTAATGTCGGATTTTTTAATAGATAACGCTGTTTTCCAGAATTTCCATTGAAAATGACAAAAATGCATGAAACCTGGGGGCAATCACCTGGTGTCATATATGTAATTTAACTTTGTGATAAGAAATCGATGAAACAAAAGGCAATTTTACCAAAACGGCACAAGGGTTTTTGGGGAAAAGGCATCAGGGCAGAAGGGCGCGGATGAAGGCACCCAGGGCGCGGCTGAGGGCACCCAGGGCGCGGCGCCCTTCTATTTTGGGCTAACGAGACCACTGGTAAAGGAAGGTCCTAGATATGTCAGCTCATACATAAAACAAGTAAACCCTATATATTGTTAATTTTATTTGTGTGCTTTTAAAAATGTTATAGACATTTAGCAACTTAAGCTCCACTCAGGGACAATCTTGAACTTGCAGTGCAGTGTGAGCTTTCACCTTGGTATTGAAGGTCTCAATGTGATTTTGAAATGAAGAACAGAAATGATTGTTTTGTCATGTGCATGTACAGATTTTGAATAATTACACCCCTTCCTTTCCTTTTCTTTCTATTGAATGTTATTACAAATAAAATGAAGGCTTACAAATGTCAGTTTGTTTGTTCATTCTTACAACAAACACATTTTGATTCGTAATTTGTATTTAATTTAATGACTTTTTTAATTACACAGCTTTTGGTCCCTTCTGAGTATGTCTTTTGGGTACTTTCAGTATTTAAGGCCTGTATCATGAAATATTTTTAAAGCCAGACTGCCTCATAACCTTTGTTGCACAATGAAGTGTCCAAAATCAACAAAATTGATCTGATTGTTTGTATCTCAGTCAGAAATACATGTAACATGTATCCACTAGTGGAAATGTTTGAAAGGATAATGCAATAAGTTTTAGTCTGTAATTGGTATGCAGAGGTGTCCATCAGTGTTCTAATGCCATTAACAAGAATAGAAACTCTATGATAAAATTTCATTATGAATCTTTCAAATTGATGCCTCAAAACTAACACTTTTTACTTCATGGAGTCTAGACAACTGAACAAAAAAATAAAGTTAATATGAACTCCAAATTTAATTATTGAGTAAAACCATCTAAATTTCTGGAGGCAGAAAGATTTAATTTTCCACTTTCTTGATTACATACAACAAGGGGATACAATTCATGTCATTAAAACCTACACTTGTTTTTCAGACTGTTATATAAACTTTATGGCCCAATAAATTTGATCCTTTAAATTTCTTTCAGAGCTGGATTAAGAACACTTATGATTTAAGAATGGCCCATCATCCCAGAAGATAAAAGTCTAAATTTAATTAAGATAAATGACTAACATTGTAAAATATCTATATTTGTACACCTAACTTTAATGGTTAAATCCTAAATTGATTTATATTTTATAAAGGGAAGATACAACTATTTTCAGTGATTACACTTTTAAAAAAATCGTTAGTTCTGTACTTTTAATTCAGTTTTGAATGAAATGAAAAAAACATGTACAACAGAAAAATTTTAGCTGTTAGAGTTACAAAAAATAACATTTTATGATGGTTGAAATGAAAATTTTGTTTTCAAAGGCGGTTTGAAATTTTTAAATCTTAATAATAATTATTCTACTATTTGTGTCCCTCCCTCTTTCACAGGGAACATAGCTGTATATTACATCTTGATAATGGTCAAGCCTTAAGTTGGCCAATAATAACAGTGTGTAGAGTGTGGCACACAAAGATGTTTTCACACCTTTACAATTTTGAAGTCTGAAACAAACAATCCTAAATAATTTCAGCTAATATTACATATTAGAAAACTATAGTTGAAAAATTGAAAATGGAATTCCTTTATCAGTTGTTTATTGATATAACTTATAATAAATACCATGGAAAAGTTAGTATTGCATGGGGGTATACTTCTCCTTTTAAATTTCCTTAGATAATATATATTAATGTCATGTGTACTGAAATGTATATATAAGCACCTGTTTCATTTGATTGCTGTAAATAAGACCAGAATTCTACTTTTAAATGTAAGCTTTGTCTTTATTTGTCAACAGTATTTTAGACAATATCTATGTAGTTTCAGATATCCAACAAAAAGCAACTCTTTTACATTAATCTTAACTGATCATAAGTTATACTGAAATAGTCACAGCTTTCAGGTGTTTTCACTCCAAAGATTTTTTGTGAAAAGAGTTGCTGGATATAAGAGTAAACAGCAAATTATCTTGATCTCAAACATTAAAAAGGTTGTGTTCATTATGAACTATATGTCTTCTTCATAACCCACTGTGTATTATCTTAAATTACGTATTATGATTATCTCGTAATTAATTATTCAAAGAATGCATGCTATGATAATAGACAATATGAATATTTATGCTCAGCATGCACCAAGTGAATTATTTATTAACCTCGGCCAATAGAAATCTTTGATATACTAGAATAAAGGAATGGAAAAACAAAGTCCTTTGATAACAAATTCTTCAGGAATTTACATTTAAATTAGATTTCTGATGGATCTGACTTTTAATCAAACTGTCTGCTTTTTAACATGATTTGCTCTTATTAAAATGTCACGTCCAATTTGAATTAAATGAATTTCACCTCCCACTTTTATCTTGTCAATTTAGAAAGACACATATTAAATTGAAATTTTTACTTGTAATCAATTTAGTATGGTATGCATGTCACAGAAAATTATGCAAATCATGATGTCTTAGGCCTTATAAAAAGATACTTGTGTTTCCACTAACCCTATCTACCCTAATTTTTAGTGCCTCAGGTACCTGGTATACCCTAATTTCAAATTTGTTTTTTTCTTTTTGAAATTAGCACTATTAATTAAAGTCAGACTGTTTACCCCTCTTATTATAAACCAGTCAAAAATTTTTTTAAACAAATATTTGCTTATATACTTACCCTTATTTTTTTTCAGCATGTTAAAGAAAAACACAGGTATTTTTTTTATTAGGCCTCATCACAGAGTCATGACAGTTAAAAAAAAACAAATTGAGATTGTGTCTTTTTAAAAAAAATTCTACCTCGGTTTATAACAATTATTATACCTTTGACTGTCTTGGAGATTTTATCTTAAAAGAAAAATATTGGCAAAAATGATGACAATTAAATGTGAATTAAACTTTGACATTAGCGTGATATCAAAGAGATTTCCTGATTTACACCATTTATCCTTTTTCTTCTTTAGTTGACATTTAATATTGATTACTATATATAATGTCTTTAAAGGATAAAAGTACAATCAGATGATTTTCATTTTCTTGAACAAAAATTTGAATTTCGCCTACATAATAAAAAGGAAACATTGTATTATACTTTTTATTTTTAACAGTTTCACCATTATAAGTTTCAATATTTCCCAGAATCTGTGCATGATCATGTAGTGGCTGAAAATTAGAATTTTTGAACAGCTAATTTACTTTTGGTATTTGAGGGATGTTTTCTTGAGTCAGGTTCATGATGCTTAGTCAGTATTAAATCTACATGGAAGTACAGTGACTAGTATTAGAGTGTAAGAAATCATGATTCCTCAATTTCCTGTTCAATAATGAAAAACATTGTTATTTAGTTTTATTTAGAATTGTTTTAGTCATGTTAGTTGTAATGTGTTTTACTGGTATTGATTTTGTCATTAAAATACAGAAACAATCATGATTTGAGTGCTCAAAAGCTTGTTAAACTTCTCAACATATTAATGTGCCCATCCAAAGTGAGAACCTCTTCAATGGTGTCTCTAGTTCTATCTAAAGTGTTTTTATGTCCTTTGAAATATAGCAGTGGTGGCAGCTCTTTAATAGCCTCTTGGAGATTTTGCACTTTGACTTCTAGATGATGGGCTGCTTTGATTGCTCCTTGCTACATTTATGGTTAATACATAGACTTTTTACATTTTTACAGGCTGAAAGCAATTTTACAAGCCTGGGCTGTTGGGCCTGTGGTTAAGCACGAAGACTGCATCTAATGAACATTGTATATAACAAAGTTCCTAGAGAAATGTCTGTTAGTAGGATCAAATATATGTTGACAACTGAAGCTTAGGGCTGATATGCATAAAACTACTTAAGTTAAGATTTGTTCAGAACTGACAGATTTTTATACATGTCCTATGATAAATTAGTACTATGATTGGATATCTTAACTTAAGTGGTTTTATGCATATCAGCCCTGAGTACTATATTTGAAATTTAATTTTACTTGTCTTTGTAAAGTAATTAAAGAATAGTCATTAGGTCATGTAAAATGTCTTTACATTAGATTAAAAGATTTGTAAACTATTAATGTCATGAAGCATTTTAGCGAAGACAAAATAATTTTTAAACATCGGTTACTTTTTTTCAGAAATCACAGAGGATGATGATAATGGTTGGAATCCTTGGGGTGAAGAATTTGAGAAGGAGGGGTCCTACATGCACAGACATAAAGCTCCAAAGATTTTATGGAACAAAGAAGATATAAAGTCTGACAAAGCCTCAAATACAACTACTCACATTGTAGATATCTGGAGCATAGCTGCCATAGGTATGTATAAATATTGTTATAGCTCTAACATCCTCAAGCTCACAAGCTGTTGCAATATGATATACTGCTCAGGTCAATATACTTCAATTAGTGCAATAATTCTTTTAAAATATCAGAAGCAGATCAAGAGGAGGGGGAGGGGCGCAGGGGCCTGCTCTCTTCATATAGTTATGCAGCCTCATATATGATAAATGTATGACTTTTTACAAGTATCACTCCAAATGTTGGCTTACCAGTGTGCCCAGCCCCCTCTCCCCCTTTCAAAATCCTGGATCCACACCTGAAGATAGTACCAAATATTTCAGCCATATTGATTATATTTGTCTAATTCGTGCAGTAAAGGTGCAATGCTCATTTCCACATTCATGTTTATCTCTTGACTGCTTTGTGCGAATATTATTTTAACTACATCCTCTCTAGTTCAAATTTAAGAAGAAAGAAAATAGTAAAAAATATCTTTTTCACTAAAAATGTTTTTACATGTAATAAGATATCTTTTAGTGGTTAATGGTGTTGAAAGGTTGTTATCTTATTGACACATCTCATTTTATTCATATTTTAATGTTATGGTATATTGTTTGTAGTGTAAAAAACAAATTGGTTTATATACTACAATAATGTAAAGTATGTTCCCTTATGGAATTTCTACGAAAGAATTTATTTTAAATGGACATTAAATATGACATTTTCAAATGCCTACAAATACATATATGTAATGAACAAAAAATTTCATGTAGGAAATCGTGAATAACTCTGTTTCAAATCTTTCTAGCAAAAAAAAAGTACTTTAATGGTAAATCTATATACAGCCATGCTGCCATGTCTAAAGAGATAATTTAGATAATGCACTTGTTATAGTTTTAATACAACTTGTATCACCATAAACATTCTTATTATTCCATCAATATGCATTTAAAGACATGGTTTTCAAGACATCATGGAAACATATTGAACAGGACCCGTCATTGTCAAATAATTACATAATTGAATCAATGTATAAAATTGCCATTTCCCTGACATATAAAAACATATTACAGATCCACAACAGACTAAGCCACAAACGTTGTTTTTTTTGTAATTCTCATTTGCTGTTTATCCTTTTTAAGATTTAATTTAGTTAAGAACAAGGGATTTAACACAGTAAAATACAAATTTTAAAGTGCGTGCATATGGTGTCTTGACATTTTATTTCCGTCTCTTCACACAAAATGACAGCGTAATGGTTTTGTATCATCTCATCATTATCTGTTTAATTTCCTGTGAATTATTGTTTCTCGTCCCTGAACACGAAACAATGTGTTATGCAACAGCATGTATTTTTCAAGTTTGCTCCGGTGTATTTTTTTTCTCAGGCTGTTAAACTTTGAATAGCAACAAAATCTGGTATGAATCAGTGGTACAATATATGGCTGTTAATCTAAGAAAAAAAAGTATGTCGGAATAGTAGTTTTGATGAAGATAATAATTGGAACGATGTAAAAATTATGGAAGACTGCACCCATCAATACAACTATAATCAGCTTTTCCTGGGAACACGTAATCAGCTTTAAAAAAATATCTTGTAGCATCTTCCTCAAGTATAATTATAAGGAATCTTTTTACAGATCTTACAAGGATTTCTAGCTTACAGCATAATTGAAATTGTACATGAAAGGGGTTTACTTATAGCAGCAGGGAAACAGTTGATTCTTAAGTCTTTATTTGTGTTGACTCATGATTTATTTATGTATTGCATTACATTTGCATTTAAAATATTAATGCTCTAATTTTTTTTACATTTTTGAGACCACTGTACACGTGCAGTTTAATGTGGACAAATGAGTACGCCTTTAATATGTTTAAAGCTGTACAGTTTAATTTCAAAGAGTGACGTAGCTGTTTGTTCAGTAATACATTTTTTTGATTGAGTTAAGCCATTTCAATTGATATTTTATAGTGTGTCTCTCTATGTTGTGATGTTACACTATTATTTCAGGTAGGGTGAAGGTTGGCGCCTATTAAAATGTTTAAACCCGCTGCATTTGTTTGCACCTGTCCTAAGTCAGGAACCTGATGTTCAGTGGTTGACGTTTGTTTATGTGGTTCATAAGTGTTTCTCTTTTCTCGTTTTTTATATAGATTAGACCGTTGGTTTTCCTGTTTGAATGGTTTTACACTAGTCATTTTTGGGGCCCTTTATAGCTTGCTGTTCAGTGTGAGCCAAGGCACTGTGTTGAAGGCCGTACTTTGACCTATAATGGTTTACTTTTACAAATTGTGACTTGGATGGAGAGTTATGTTTGTTTTATCAACATGAGATACACATCTACGAAATCTGTCACCTTATATTTAATGTTAAAACCATATTGTTATCATAACACAATATCAAATTTGTCATTACAAACAAGTATTTGTCACTTGAAGTTATACAATTTATTTTATTGCTTTTTATATAAAAGGTGGTTTAAGGTAACTTCAAGTTCATTTTGTTTAGTGTGTACTCAGCAGCAGACTAATAAAACACTTGTATCCATTTAAACTCTTTAGGGTGAACTTTTTCTTAAAGTTATAATAAAAACTACTTTTATTAGCTGCAAATAATTAATAAACAGTATGATTAATGGCTTTTATGTATTTAAAACATTAACTTTATTATAACAACAAATAAAGTGTAATTGTTAAAAATTGTAAGTATTGAAAGGGTCAAGTATTTCTCAGTTCATAACCTTAATTTTGCATAAAGCCTTTTGTATGGCAGTTTCCATAAATTTGGCCCTATCCAGGAAATCAAAATTTGTAAACGGTTAAATAGCTAGTACAGAAGATATTTTATATTCCTTAAAGCAATTGACAATTTTGAAAAGTCAACAAGCAATATCCAAATTTTCATTCAAGAACCTAACTACCTCAGTGGTCTTGTGGTAGCATGTTAGCCTCAAGTGTGGAAGGTCATGGGTTCAAACCCTGGCTGGGTCAAACAAAAGACTTCAGAATTGGTATGTGCTGCTCCTTCTCTAAGCATGCAGTTTTAAGGAGTAAGAGCACAGACTGGTCGGCTCAGAGTCAGAAAAATGTGTCGGAGTAGGGTGCCATGTCTTCCTGCTGACTGTTACCTTTTGAACTAGTACATGAAAAATCCAGCTCAGGTGTTGGTCTAATACAAAACAGGGTTAATATTCATATAACATTTACATGTTCTTGTCCTGAATATGCATCTAATTTGCCGCTGGACGTTAAACTGCCATCCATCTGTTTCCATCATCATCATCATCATACAAGAACCTTGATTTTACTTGGGTAATGAACTTTATTGAGTTTCTAATGTGAAGAGATCTAAGTAAAACAAGCAACAGGAATTGTTAAGTGTGATTTTTGTGTCTTAACTAATACCAAAAACCATACTGTTAAGAATTTGTCACTTCTAACATCGTTCTAAAAATGTAAATTTCCTGCAGTAATTAAACATTTTTTGTATAATGATTTCCTCCTAACATTTGATGTATTACAGTTTTACATTTATAGCCTTCATTTCTCTCCAAATTGCGTAAGATTTCTACTAATTTCTATGTAGTTCTAGCCAAAATTATTCTGGTACATTTAACAAATACAAAAAATTGCTGAATATCCTGACAGTTTTACATTGACTTAAGTGTTTTCCTACATTACTGTTGACTAATTGTTATATACATGGTGATTAGTAAAGACTGATGATTTCTATGCTTCATTTAATTTTTGGAAGTATTATTAAAAGGCTTTAATTCACAGCTTTAATTCAAAATTCTTATTTTAACTAGAGAATATTTTTATCCATGTTAAATTCTTTCATTTATCTTTTCAGAAGAGTTTAGAAATGATTTCTTCCAACAAAAAGATCTGTTAGAGTATATATGCTAATTCTCTTTTTCTCTTGCAATAGTATAAGAATATTTTACTTCTCTACCCTTACACTAAAACTCACTATTCTTAAGGATAGAATTAGTAAAAGCATGTTTCATGAAAAAGAATGAGCAATGTAAATACGAATATTTTGTTTTAGGAAGCTTAAGGGATTAATCATTCTTTGTAAACAGCCAATCTGATTCACACAAATAATTCTCTGAAACTGACATCATCAAGATGCTTGTTTTTTTATTGACAAAATATTTGTAATGTTTGGAGGATGTGTTTTTCAACAAACAATCAACATTCCTATGAGAACCAACTGTGCTCTTCTTCTTTTATTTATGTGAGGCAGACTTCGTACTGGAGCTTCTCAGGAAGAATGACAAAATGCAAGTTGTATCTTTTAACTTCATATTCTGCTATATAGATGATGTCCTCTCACTGAATAATTCAAAGTTTGTTGACTATGTTGAATGCATCTATCCCATCAAACTTGAAATAAAGAAAGAAAACCACATATACAGTTAAATCTACCTCATATCTTGACTTACATCTAGAAATTGACAATGAGGGTCAGTTGAGAACAAAACTTTACGACAAAAGGGATGATTTTAGCTATCCAATTGTGAACTTTCTATTTTTATGTAGCACCATTCCAGAGGCTGTATATGAAGTGTATAACTCTCAGTTGACATAATATTCCAATCATGATTTCTTTGATAAAGGGATGCTACTTATAAGGAATCTATTGAACCAAGGGTTCCAAGTGGTAAACTTCAAAAAAATTTCTGATGCTGGTTGACCACTATGACATATCTGTGTCACAGATGACCACAGATATGTTGTAATTGTAGTAACCGCAGTCCTGCTCTCTTTTGTTAGATTGTGATGTCACTGTATGAGACTTAGCACCGAGTTTGTACTTGTATGAGCATTATGGTGGTCCCCACTTGTGGAGCAGGGTCTGTTTACCCTTCTGAAGCACCTGAAATCACCCCTAGTTTTTGTTGGGTTTCCTGTTACTCAGTATTATTTTTTTTATGTAGTGTGTTTTAGGATTTGCACATTGAAATATTTCCTTTTTGCTGACAAAGTTCTAATTATACCCCACGCAACGTGTTTGTTTTTGACCCATCAGT